TTTAGGTAGGCGTGGTTGACTCTTAACTTTTATAAAGAATATCTCTGGATTTGAGACTTTGGTCTTTGCAACTTTACAGATCTTCTTTAAGCACCAAGAGCTTGTAACACTCCAAAGAGAAAGGAAAAATTGAAATTGCATCATATGACCCCTTTAAAGGCTCTTTGTTTCTCAGTAATTAAGAGACAGACACTCTTCGTGCCTTACCCTCGGTATCGGACGGCAGGGTATTCCTTCAGTGTGGCACACAGTGTCGCCAGCTGCTCTGCCAACCGTTCCATCACAGGGTTCTTCAGCTGTGTCTTATGAGGGCTGTAGAAACTCTGGAAGGCATCAGGGTTGTCCAAGGAGAACACCTGAAAACACATTAATACTTGTTACTGATAGAGCAATAATGTGGACAGGCAAAGTGATTAGCTGGCATTTTGCAGATTTTTGCTTTGTTTTTATGTGCCATTTTGGGGCGGGTGTTTTTATAGAAAAGTACAACTGAAACTTAATTTTATTTCAGCAAGTTGCCAATGCAACAGTTTTCATTTTAATTTAGTTTAACTTGATATACTAAACTATCTAAAACTAAAACTGGAATTATATTATATAAACAACATAGACAAAACAAAAAGTACTAAAATGACAAAACACACAATGACAAACTTTAAAATGAAAATGGAAAAAATATATAAAAATATTAATAAAAACTATAATAGTATCTAAATTATACAAAAATAATACTGATCTAGAACAGATACATTCATTTTAATAGACCATGGTAGGCAGTCTCAATGAAGAGCTGCATAGAAAACCCCAGAAGAAAAAAAAAACAGAAAAACTAAGTGGTAGTAAATAATGCAGTTTATATTTTCTGAATATATTTTAAATGTTTTATTATTTGCTACTATATAAATTTGCTATTATATATCTCATGCTCACCAAGGCTGCATTTATTTGATTAAAAATATAGTAAAAACAGTAACACTGTGAAATATGATTACAACTTAAAATAGTTGTTTTCTGTTTTGATATATTTTAAACTGTAATTTATTCCTTTGATGGCAAAGCTGAATTTTCAGCAACCATTACTCCAGTCTTCAATGTCACATGATCCTTCAGAAATCATTCTAATATCTTGATTTGGTGCTTAAGAAACACTGGTTAAACAGTTGTGATGTCTATTATTTTTTGTGATACATATTTTTTTCTTCGATGAATAGAAAGTCCAAAAACAGCATTTATTTGAAATAGAAATCTTTTGTAACATAAATGTCTTTACTGTTACTTTTGATTAATGTAATGCATCCTTGCTAAATAAAAGTAATTAATTCTAGAAATTAATTTTATTCTATAAATAAATATTTTTTTATGATTTTGTATGCATGTCACATGCAAAAGACCTGTGACAGAATGCCACGAAATGTGTTCCTGTTTTCAAAGTAGTCTGAGGGATGAGCTTTGAGTTAATGAGTTGTTTCCAGTCTGTGCTTTCATTCCTTTCCTTCCTGCCTTTTGTGTCTCCTGTGGCCGAATCTCTGACTGTGTCAGGCAGTCAGGTCTTCACAACCACCCCTCCCCACCCCCTATCAGCACACACAGGGTCACATGACAATCCTTCTGTTCAGCAGATGGGTTGCCCTTGATACTTGTTCCCTCTCATAACCTCCTCTGATTGGCCAAGGCTCTCTGTGGATGCTGCGTGATGCTGAACGAGGCGGGCCTGCGAAGCGTTGAGCTCAGGAGAAACGCACTGCTCCTCTGACTCCACTGAATTAATCATAGCAGACAGCCTAAGCAGCAAGGCATTGTGGGCCAGACTGCATCCCCCCAGCCTTAGAGCTGTTCTGGAACACTATTTCTGTATTCACGGAGTTGTTTCTGGATGGTTCTCTGTACGGATAGTCATTATTCCTATATATTTTTTTATCCCTCTCGTCCACTCCCCTCCTGAAATGCCTCACCTGGGACTCATAGGGCAGGAAGGCGATGTTGATCTCAGTTAGGGTTTTAATGGTTTTGGAGGCACGGCTCTTCACCACATCATTAAACAGGGGGTCCGGGCAAGCTGAAAAAAAAAAAAACACATGGGTAGTTGACATAATATTTTGAGCAGTGACAGCAGTTTATTGAAGTTTTGACATAATATACATCACTTACACTATTTTATATAGATATAAATATCTGACATTAAATATCTGAAATTAAAATGTAAAAAATATCCAAAATCAGCTGCAATAAAATCTCCAATAAAATCAGCTGTAATATTTATTGCATATTTACACTTTTATATACAAAATATTTTTAAATGTATATAAAATATATATACAGTGCATTCAGAAAGTATTCAACCCCCCTTCACTTTTATGTTGCAGCCTGACACTACAATTGTTTAAATTCATTTTTTTTTTCTAATTTTCTCATCTACACTCCATACCTCATAATGACAAAGTGAAAACAGAATTTTAGAAATGTCTGTAAATTTATTTATTTTTTAAACTGAATCTACTCCGTACTTAGTTGAAGCACCTTTGGCAGCAATTACAGCCTCGAGAGTCTTTTTGGGTATGACACAGCAAGCTTTGCACACCTGGATTGAGGGATTTTCTGCCATTCTTTTTTGCAAATCCTCTCAACATCGGTCTTGGATGGGGACCGTCAGTGGACAGCCATTTTCAGGTCTCTTCAGAGATGTTCGATAGGGTTCAAGTCAGGGCTCTGGCTGGGCCACTCTAGGACATTCACAGAGTTGTCCCTAAGCCACTCCTGTGTTGCCTTGGCTGTGTGCTTAGGGTCATTGTCTCTAGGCGCGTTTCCATTACCCTTCAAATTGCGCAAATTGAAATTGCGAATTGAAAACGCGCCTAATGGAAACATGTCAATTTCGCAAAAACGCCCATATATCGCAAAAAGGTTTTTACGCTCGCATGAGGTGGTTTTTCAGGCAATGCGAAAAAGTAATAATTCGCAAAACTGCAATGGAAACGGCTTTTTCGCATTTACAGGTCACATGGTGTATGTAAAAAGTCATATGATCATTCTTCAATGTACTATAACCTCCAAGAAACACATCATACGTGGCCACATTTACATTTACATTTACATTTAGTCATTTAGCAAGGCTCTCTGTGGATGCTGCGTGATGCTGAACGAGGCGGGCCTGCGAAGCGTTGAGCTCAGGAGAAACGCACTGCTCCTCTGACTCCACTGAATTAATCATAGCAGACAGCCTAAGCAGCAAGGCATTGTGGGCCAGACTGCATCCCCCCAGCCTTAGAGCTGTTCTGGAACACTATTTCTGTATTCACGGAGTTGTTTCTGGATGGTTCTCTGTACGGATAGTCATTATTCCTATATATTATTTTATCCCTCTCGTCCACTCCCCTCCTGAAATGCCTCACCTGGGACTCATAGGGCAGGAAGGCGATGTTGATCTCAGTTAGGGTTTTAATGGTTTTGGAGGCACGGCTCTTCACCACATCATTAAACAGGGGGTCCGGGCAAGCTGAAAAAAAAAAAAACACATGGGTAGTTGACATAATATTTTGAGCAGTGACAGCAGTTTATTGAAGTTTTGACATAATATACATCACTTACACTATTTTATATAGATATAAATATCTGACATTAAATATCTGAAATTAAAATGTAAAAAATATCCAAAATCAGCTGCAATAAAATCTCCAATAAAATCAGCTGTAATATTTATTGCATATTTACACTTTTATATACAAAATATTTTTAAATGTATATAAAATATATATACAGTGCATTCAGAAAGTATTCAACCCCCCTTCACTTTTATGTTGCAGCCTGACACTACAATTGTTTAAATTCATTTTTTTTTTCTAATTTTCTCATCTACACTCCATACCTCATAATGACAAAGTGAAAACAGAATTTTAGAAATGTCTGTAAATTTATTTATTTTTTAAACTGAATCTACTCCGTACTTAGTTGAAGCACCTTTGGCAGCAATTACAGCCTCGAGAGTCTTTTTGGGTATGACACAGCAAGCTTTGCACACCTGGATTGAGGGATTTTCTGCCATTCTTTTTTGCAAATCCTCTCAACATCGGTCTTGGATGGGGACCGTCAGTGGACAGCCATTTTCAGGTCTCTTCAGAGATGTTCGATAGGGTTCAAGTCAGGGCTCTGGCTGGGCCACTCTAGGACATTCACAGAGTTGTCCCTAAGCCACTCCTGTGTTGCCTTGGCTGTGTGCTTAGGGTCATTGTCATGTTGGAAGGCGTTCACTTTTTTTCAATTTTGTTATGTTGCAGCCTGATACTACAATTGTTTAAATTCATTTTTTTTCTCATTAATCCACACTCCGTACCTCATAATGACAAATTGAAAACAGAATTTTAGAAATGTCTTTAAATTTATTAAAAAGAAAAAACTGAAATATGACATTTACATAAATATTCAGACCCTTTACTCAGTACTTAGTTGAAGCACCTTTGGCAGCAATTACAGCCTCAAGTCTTTTTGGGTATGATCCAACAAGCTTTGCACACCTGGATTGGGGGATTTTGTGCCATTCTTCTTTGCAAATCCTCCCAAGCTCGGTCAGGTTGGATAGGGACCGGCGGTGGACAGCCATTTTCAGGTCTCTCCAGAGATGTTCGATAGGGTTCAAGTCAGGGCTCTGGCTGGGCCACTCTAGGACATTCACAGAGTTGTCCCTAAGCCACTCCTGTGTTGCCTTGGCTGTGTGCTTAGGGTCATTGTCTCTAGGCGCGTTTCCATTACCCTTCAAATTGCGCAAATTGAAATTGCGAATTGAAAACGCGCCTAATGGAAACATGTCAATTTCGCAAAAACGCCCATATATCGCAAAAAGGTTTTTACGCTCGCATGAGGTGGTTTTTCAGGCAATGCGAAAAAGTAATAATTCGCAAAACTGCAATGGAAACGGCTTTTTCGCATTTACAGGTCACATGGCGTATGTAAAAATTCATATGATCATTCTTCAATGTACTATAACCTCCAAGACAATT